CTATACAAGTACAGGTTAATTTACCATCAAATTTATCTCAGGTTATGTCAAACAGTACCTTAAATTATACCTATCATTAAAAAAAACATGACCTATCATTGTAGGAACGGGTGCAACTCTTCAGCACATTACGTTACCATAACATAAGGGCCCCAAATTTTCATGAAGATATCTTGTCTATCAGTTTATAACAATCTTTCATATAAGCTTATTTAAGTATATCCTAAAAGTTACCTACTGCAACTTTAGATGTATCCCCTTTGTAACTGAATTCCTTTTGTCACAGAAAGCAGTCACAGTGGCTACAAAGGCGATAGATCTGCTTATTTATACACTTGACATGCAGACAAAGCAGCCAGTAGACGTATGGAAAACAGTGGCCTGCTGTACTTGCTGAGGATGCTGTCTGAAGTCCTTGTTGTAACACCTCGAAATGTATGCTACATGTGTATTGTACTCTGATGATGCAGTTTGTTAGAAAGCTCTTGTTGTTTGCTGCTACAGATGGAACAGTGCAATATGAAGGTCCGGGGGTGGAGCTGGCCTTTCCTCATCTCGACCAATCAGATCCCTTGCTGCTGCTACAGCTCCAGCACAGATACACAGCTGTTGGCCTGGCACTCAAACACACACTCAGGTACGAGAGACACACACTCAGTACTTGCGCACAAAATCCTCTGTCTAAAGGGTTAGTTCATCTTTTGTGGTGTTTCCTGGTCCAGTATGCAACTTCTTACAGTGTGTAGAAACTTGAAGCCACCAGTGCACATACAGCGAAGTAGGAGACATCTCCTCTTTAGAAATGAACAACATTTGCATATTCATAGTTTCTGGAATTTTTAATTGGCAAGGAGGAGTAGATGACTTTTTAGGATTTTAATTTGGAAATTCAGATATCATATCGGACACATTATTGTTCCAAGCAAACAATTTGTATATAAATATCTTCATACATGTCTGGAGGGGTCTTTAAATGAATATAAATTCCTGCAAATGCTGGAAAAACAGTTGAGTGCTTAGTCTCATTCCAAGATCGTCATATATCGATGCTGTGAATTAGACTTAGCCGTCAACTGTCTTCAGTCCACCAACCCAAAATGTCTTTACATATTTCTCGGCTCTGAGTGGTTGTCTGGTGGATTCTTGCAAATACCATTAGGAGAACTAGGAGGAACCTGATCACCTGATATTTTCACAGATTACCTGTCTCATGTACTACTGTCA